CTCTGCCATGCTAGAGATCATTGGTCTCATCAGGGGGCGCTAAGCCTGATGTAGAGTGTGCGGTTTTACCAGGGGGCGCCAAGCTTGATGTAGAGTGGTGCGGTTTTACCAGGGGGCGCCAAGCTTGATGTAGAGTGGTGCGGTTTTACCAGGGGGCGCCAAGCTTGATGTAGCATGGTGTGGTCTCACCAGGGGGTGACGAGCCTTGATGTAGAGAGTCATGGTCTCACTAGGGGGCGCTAAGCTTGATGTAGAGTGGTGCAGTCTCACCAAGGGGCGGCGAGCTTGATGTAGTGGTGCAGTCTCACAAGGGGGCGACGAGCTTGATGTAGAGAGTCATCGCGGCTCACTAGGGGCGTTAAGCTTGATGTAGAGTGTGTGCGTCTCACCAAGGGGCGGCGAGCTTGATGTAGAGAGTCATGTCTCACTAGGAGGCGCTAAGCTTGAATGTAGAGCGTCATGGTCTCACCAGCGGGGCGTACTAAACTTGCATGTGCAGAGTTATGGTTTCACTAGGGGGCGCTAAGCTTATGTAGAGATCATTGGTCTCACTAGGGGCGGCCTAAGCTTGTTGTAGAGCAGTCATTGGTCTCAACAGGGGCGCTAAGCTTGATGTAGAGAGTCATGATCTCACTAGGGGGCGCTAAGCTTGATGTAGAGAAGTCATGATCTCACCAGGGCGGCCGCCTAAGCTTGATGTAGAGAGTCATGGTCTCACCAGGGGGCGCTAAGCTTGATGTAGAGAGTTATGTGTTTCACTTGGGGCGCTAGCTTAATGTAGAGAGTGCATGGTCTCACTAGGGACGCTAAGCTTGTTGTAGAGAATCATGGTCCACCTGGGGTGACTAGCGCTTGATGTAGAGTGGTGCGGTCTCACCCAGAGGGAGACGAGCTTGATGTAGAGAGTCATGGTCTCTGACCAGGGGCGCTAAGCTTGTTGTAGAGAGTCATGGTTTCACCAGGGGGAGTCGAGTGCTGTGACGATAGGCGGCACTATGCTCGGACAGGTTGCTCCTAGACAAAAATTTCTACTGCAAAGATTTTTCATATCAATAACAATGAGGAAACACATGACAGGCAATTAATTTAGTACTTGATATAATATAATTTTTAACTTATTAAGAGCTTAAGAGCACATTTATGAAACGTAGTTATATTACAAATTTGTTTAGAATTGTTTTCCAATTTTAGGGTGTTATGTGACAGTATATGAACAAATACCTTAATTTCCTCCTAGCACTTCTACAGCCCGTCAGTGATTCTTCATAGAAATGTCAAAATCAAATCTAATGTATAAATAAACATGTATTATAATATATATATATATATATATATATATATATATTGTAACGCTTTCCCCTGTGGCGTGGTGGTTGATCAAGCCGTGATCGTTCCACAGGGGCGACACGTCGGGTCGTGCACCTCGACCGCCAGGCGCGTTCCGTTATGATCAACCAACGATAAAATAGAGCAGCAACACGGTATTAAAGGTACTCGGCTACGTACTGTAGCCGCTTTAATTGTGCTAGTAATCACAATATACAGTCGACATACGTGAGACTTCAGTGCTCTTACGTTATCCGAAGCTCGTGGCCGTGCCGCGCCTCTTGAGCGTCGTGCCTCTTCTTTCCTCCCTGGTTGGCTGGTGCTGACTCTGCGTGAGTGCAACGGCAGGGACTCTGACGGTGACGGTGACTCGGTCGTGCGAGTCGAGTCGAGTACTTAACAACGGTCATATGGCACCTTATATACTCGCTAGCCGTGATATGTCACGTGGTATAGAGGGCACACGTAAAACGTGCACGTGATCACGACGAGAAGCCAAACTAAGAAGCCAAAATCGTTACACCACGGAGGATTCAATGAAGCTGAAGCTGCGCGAGCACGCGCACACAGCAAGAAGCCAAACTAAGAAGCCAAATCGTTTACACCATATATATATATATATAGAGAGAGAGCACATTATTCTCTCACACTTTTTCTGCTTCTCCTCTTCCACTTTCTCAGCCCCTTCAAATCCGTCATTATCTACCGCGAATAACACTTACTTCGCTCTTCATCAGTCTTATCCTCCTTTCACCTCTCCCCTTCTTCACTCTCCTACCGTAGATAAAAAGTTTATGTCACGCTGTCCAACAGATTTCAGTTGCATGATCGTAAATTATTTCAGTATTTTGAAATAAAATTTCTTATTTGACATAGCTTAATATTTAATATAACCTTGATAAATCTTCTCATCTCATATGCTAACGCTACTGAACAAACTTATGGATAAGGAGATATAATAATCGACGGACGGACGTGGGACGTGTGACGTTATACATTTTCAAAATTTCTGGGGGGAGGACCCCCCATACCCCGCCTGTTTTTCACCCCCCCCCCTCTTCAAATCCTGGATCCGCCACTGATAGTATATCCAAGTAGAGGTTGAGTGCACACACACACGGATGCACATACGACGGACGGACGTGTGACGTTATACACTGCGTATTACGCTTACTAATCATAGCACGTTCATGAGAACGTGGGGCGTACTGGATAGGCATAACCAACTATAGTCTCACTGGAGCTAAAAGGTATGTATGTCACCCCCGCTATACTGTCAGAGAATACCACTAAGCTTAATTTAACTCTAGCACTACATCTAATATAATAGTATCCTCAAACCAAACCCTACCCTAAAGTAGTCCAGTAAATCCTTAGTTTTTGTATCCATGTTGACAGTGAATATGTTAGCATAGCTGAGTGTATAGAAACGCGTACGTACCTCTTTGCTGACGGGAAAAGGAGATTGCGCGGCGGTGGAGGGTAGGTTTGACTTCACAAGGCTCGCTGAGAGACTGCCATACAGACGTGATTGCACCAGCAACGGGTTGTAGATATCGAACTGATGAAGCTGCAAAGATAACTCGTATAATTTTATTGCTTTTTTAAATAAAATATTTTTCTCTTTTTTTTTCACTCCATTTTAAACCTATAGAATTTAGTCGTAGTTTCACCGCACATGGTTGAATCGCTGATGCTGCTACGTGGCCAAGTACGTGCATGGTCTGCTTGCAGGTTTTATCACGTTGTAGATGTTATTATGGGGCAGAGACATCGCCACGCGGATCACAGGCACTTGGAACGTCTCACTAACAAGAATAATGGTAAATAAACACGAAATGTATTTACTACCAAAGTCTTAATGTTTCTCTACTCTCCTTCGCCTATTATTGCCGATAACTTCCTGTAAATGCCGTTCAAATGCTCCTCTACAACACACAAGTACACCGCACGCACACCCTGTGCACAAACAACATGAATAATAGAGTAACTCTATACTCTATTACTCTAAACAACAAGAATAACTCTATTATTGAACGACATTTGCAGCAAGTTATTGACAACAATAGGCGAAGGAGAGTAGAGAAACATTAAGACTTTGGTAGTAAATATATTTCGTGTTTATTTACCTTTTTTATTGAAACGCTCCAAGTGCCTGTGACGCGGATAGGTATTTTGTCACGAAGTAGTGGCGTTTTACCACGGGACAGACGTTGTCGTGAGGTAGGTACTTTTTATTTCTGTCAGGAACAAAACTTTTCTAGCTGGTTAAATACTTAGCATATCTATAGAATCAGTGTTTGTAGAAAAGTATGATAAGAGTACGAGAAAAGGTTTTAATCGAATGCGTTTAAGATTGGAACCTTCGCAAACGCGTAAGCATTCAACGATAGAGGGGATTAGTATTCATAGAAAGGAACGTCATTATTTAATCAGTAATTGTTAATTGTTTCCACCTACAAAGTGTAGGAACTTAGTTTACCAATGAAAGTGAAGATCGCGCGAAGGAAATACATTCTATCTACCTATATAGCACTAACTACTTAATCTGGGTTTACACTACCGACTTTGTGTTGCCGAATTGGCGAATTGGACCAACTTCCCAACTATACAATCGACAATCGGCAGTGTAAACGCAAAAGTTCGGTCCGAACGGACAGCGACCGATAGCAACTAATTGGGAGATTAGAACATGTTCTATTTTCGCCAACTCGGAGTTGCCAAATTGCAAAATTGGTCCAACTCGCCAATTCGCCAACACAAAGTCAGTAGTGTAAACTTAGCTTTACTAGGACTACACAATCTGATCACCTTGTCAATGCTCTCTGCAACCGTTTGCTGGACATCGGTTGGTGGCTCCACTTGGCCTGCACACACCTCAGTGGGCAGCAGCAGCTCTCTAACAGCTACCGACTTCAGCAGCAGTGTTGGTCCTGGCGATGGTAGCAGCACAAAATGACCACTAGGTGCCACGATATTGGACGTAGCTTCTGTTTCCGGCGTTAAGCACGCCAGCAGTGCAAGCTTCTGTAACAGAAAACGTCCCCATTTTAAAACCTGACAGACAGAACGCTGCATTGCTTGCATGTGAAATAGGGAAGCTTTTAGGATTTTAGTTTTGCACGAGTGCATGTTTCTCTACTATAGTCAACTTGAGTATTTTCCAAAGCGGATACCTTTTCCTTCAATAAGCAGCAGAAAGCATTGAAGGTCTGCTGGTTGTCCTCCAGGTCATCCCAGTCCATCTTCCAACATGACGTGGCTTTTACTATCAGGGGCTATAGATGCAAGCAACGTACATAGCCATGATGAGAATGCTTAAATCTGAAGTGTAAAATCTCTTGTAGACCTTCAATCAAATACGTCTATCACTTGGCGCCCCCTGGTAAAACCGCACCACTCTACATCAAGCTTAGCGCCCCCTGGTGAGACCATGATCTCTACATCAAGCTTGCCGCCCCATGGAGAGACCACACCACTCTACATCAAGGTTAGCACCCCCTGGTGAGACCGCACCATTCTATGAGCCAGCACTCTCTGATTAAAGAAACTGCTAAGAGTAAAAGTATTTGTTCATTTACTAGTTTCTGCATCTCATGACACCCTGAAATTGAATATAATTAATGTATTAATATGGTATAATGGTTGCTCTTAAGCTTACATGTTTGATTAAT